CTAATCTCCGCATTTTCTGTAGGCACGGCCTCTGTAAAACAATATTGGAATCGTTGACCTCAAAATTCTCGGGTACAAATTTGCGAGTGCAGAAAGTGCAACAACAATAAAAAGAGCGTTTCCGATGAGACAGCTCATTTGTTTTATTTTTGTAAAAACAACGATTGGACTGCGCAGAATATTTCATTTGTAGGCTTTCGCCCAGACACCCTGCAAATATGCCCTGCCAACGAATTTCTGATAAAGTCTCTGGTACGATCAGGATTCACTAGTCTATCAAAATTGACATATAACTGCTAACATACTTTGGACAAATGATAGACTTCCTCCTATTGATAAAGTTGGAAAGGAAGAATTGGATCGGGAAGTTCAAAGTTTTGAATCCCCAAAAACCGCTTTTTAATACGCGGCGTATAGTTCAAAACGCAATGTATAATTCAAATGTATGATTCAAACAATGTGTAATTCAAAAGTATAATTCAAAAAATGCTCGTTTTCCATCATTTCTTTTCACTATTTTCATTAATGCCATTAATACTATCACCATTACTCAAGAACTCTTTAAAGGGATTTTCTGCTTCAAAAGTGTTACAGACTTTTTCTCCATTCTGCTTAGACGCAGGCATATCCGGTCTGAAAATCGTGGGTTGGATATCTTTAGACCAAGTACACCTGTGTCTTCATCACAAGTCTCTTTTTTAACAAATCTTACAGTTTTATGCGGTAATTACCTGGTTACTGGTGTATAGATGAATAGCGCCAAAAGCGACCACATTGCTCGGACCTGTCTGAGTATTTTCGAGAACAGTCACTGTGGCCACATTGTTGCTGTCTGTGAATGAAGAATTGTTGTTATCCGGGAAGAAACGGTTATGAAGAATGCTGCTTGAAAATTTGGTATTCTGCAGGAGCCGATTCAGCGCAACGATTTCAGTCATTCTCCAATCGCTGGAAACAATTGAGGTAGTGCAAAAGTGTGCAAAAATAACAGAAATGAATTCGAAATGCTGAAGAAGGAGTGGTTACACAACTATTCATGGATGGAGCAAATGTCTGACGTTCCATACACCGAGCAGAGTCCTAATACACCCAAATTTATTTATGTTTCAGAAGATGAATGGGCAAAAAGTATGTCCTTGCACTACAATCATTTGTCTGAATCGTATCCGGGAATCCTCTCAACTTCAACACACTGCGGTCGCCTGCTGCTATTCCTAGCGCTTTTGTTGATAAACCAGCAATTCCCCTCAAACAGTGTGCTTGCTCGGGTACAGAGTGTTTACTTCGAATTCTACTGTGCTTCAGGACTGCGGTGAGATTTATCCAAATATTTTTCTGGTTATAGTATTACTTCTTGTTGCACGTCTTTTTTACATTTCAAACACACAGCTTGTGCTAGGTGCACACTGTTAAAATAATCGTCACTCCCAATGTGGTAACAAATGGTCTCCCATTCCTTCAGTCCTTCCAGCACATCTGCACTTGTATTGTGCTAAGGAATAGTCAAATTGTTTCGCATTCAAATTTTGCTTTTGCCACCAAAATCAGCGAGGAACGTCCGCCTTTCTAAAATCCCTAACATAGAATGGGTGTAAAAGCGCTAGTTTGACTTCGAAATGTGAGATGAGAAAGCCGTGAGAAATCTTGATAAATGAAGTCAGGCTTTTTTGTTTTCGAGTTGTCGTGAAAAGAAAATGGCTTTAAGTGGCAAAATTTGAAAACGGTTCTATAATGTTTGCGTGAGATCGCAAATCATATGGGCCAGACATCGTCGGCATGGCACGACCTGTGCACATTCCTCAGTAAGCCATCCGAAACCATCCATTATTTTGATACGGCACATAAACCGCGGGCATTTTTAGAACACAGTCATCGCTGTTTGTCGGATTTAAAAGTAACAGAGGGAATTGGGCAGCAAAAGCAAATCGAGCGAGCGGAACACTTAACAGACGCATAGTCCCAGTTTAGTTATTGTTCTCAGTGCCAGATGGCCTTGCTCTAACAATCCGTAATTTTTTCATAAAGTTCAACGCAAGACGGACTTTAAAAGCAGAAGCCTTAGCAGTTCTAATCCGACAAATTCAAGACTGGGCTAAAAATAGTTCCACAGACTTTCTGACCTGCTAAGACCTTCATGTTTTAAATTTGTTCGAGCAAAAAATAGCATACAGTAATGAAGACACGGGGTAGGCCGATTTTTATGCGTTTTTGTTGTGCAGCGCTGTAGCGCTGGTGCAGCGAGCAAAAACGCATATTGTCGAGAGGTCGTCTGTGTGCGTGTGTGTGTTCGGCAACGAGTGAACTTTGTCACCCACTTTCAACTCAATAGCCGCGAAAGCTGGGAGGCTGAAATTTTGGGGACATATTCACAACCCGTGTATCACCCTCCCGTTTTAAGATCTCTCATACATGCCCAGATCTCGCGTACGAACCCCCGACAAAATATACAAATTTCTTTGGCG